GAAGTAAATAAGTAAAACAAAACATATGCCAGGTCCCACTGTTTGCGCTAAGATTCTGTCGCTCTTCCAAATCCCCACTCCCGAATTAGGAAACGGATTTTGAAATAACGTATAAGTTGATGCCCACGCATCTTCACGCCCACGCTAACTTGTATGTCTTCGAGCCACAGAGGCCGTGAGGTCGGTGTTGTCATTGTCGGACGGAGTTCGACTTGCTCCTTTCGTTCCGTAGTCCCTTCGTTAAATTCTTCCCCTTCGCTGCATTCGCCCTAAAAAATAAAAAAAAATAAAAGAAATTGCGTTACTTCTGAGCAATGACAGTCCCGGTTTGCGTTTCCGGTGAATGCGCCGGAAGTCAACACGTCTTGCCACTGCCGGAAGGAAGAAGGAGCCGCCTGGTCTAGCGTCCGCGCGGCCAAGTGCAGTTTCTCTTGATCAATCATGGTCTGCAGACTCAACCTTTCATCTTTTTGTTTTTCTGTCTGTTTTTTGCAATACAAATATCTTTCTATTTTGATCCTCACTTCCTATTTTTTCCCCCTTTGAAGAGTTCATGCCACATACTCTATTGCTTTGTCCAACGCTGCAGTTTGTCACCGCGAAGAGATAGTTCCCTGACCCCGAGTGTCTTTTTAAATGTTTTTTTTTTTTCCTCTCTTGCTCACGTTTGGCTCCGATGTCACAGAAATCCAAGAATTAGACGGTACTGGTGTCGCTTGCTTACTAATATACGTGTATGCCACAAACAAATTCTTCTCGCGTATTGTTCCCGCCTGGTGGCATATTCTTAGACCTTTCCCTCACACTTTAGCGTTACTTCTTCGTCCGAATGTGTTCCATTTTACTTGCTCGGTCACTTATTTTAGACCTGCAAAAGACTACCTGGAAATAATTGCAAAATTGTCAAATGAGCAACGTACGGTACGCCCCAAACTTAACGCCACCACGAAATGGTCCGGTTTCTTCACTTTTTGAGCTGTCCCTGAACTTAGCGGTCGAACTAGTTGGTGAAGATTTGCGTCCCCGATGAAGGGAACAGGCCCACTCGTCACAGCCAAGTCGTCATAGGGGAACTGGTCATAGGTGAACTGGTCAAAGAGGGCATCTCGGTCTTCGGTGAACTCGTAGTAGGGAAAGTGGTCGCAGTGACCTTTTGTAGTTCTTAGAAAGTTCGTCAGAGACTTTTTTTTAGAGGAGGGGGGCGGGTTATTTTCGAAAGTGGTCGCATCGAACTTGTCGCAGTTTCAAAGTCGGCCTCTCATTTTGTTTGTTTGCAGGGGGTGGTTGTGGTAGGCTTTTCGGTGTTATCTTTACTTACGACGTCCCTTTTATATTAGACCCGTTTTAAAAGCTATGCTAAGTCGGAACTTACTGCGCAATGACAAAACAGGGGTCACCCTGCGGTGACCCCGCACCAGGATGGTAAGAAGGGTATTCTTATGCGCGTAGCCGAGAAGACCCCGATGCTGTGTACTGGGTCTGTAGTCACCGCCCCCAGATGCACTATGACGACTTTTCCTACTTGATGAGTTCACTTATGACGAGTTGGCTTATGATCAGTGCTGCTAGACCCAATACTTTCATGTTTCAGAGTGGTTGTTATAATCGGTTATGTGCTAATGAGTTTGCTTCCCTTGATAGCACGAGCGCGCACACCCAACCAAAGCACGGCGGAAGCTAACGTGCGCGTTCTTCACTTGTCGCCGACAATATACCATTCCCAAATACGGCCCAGCGTGCGATAATTACAGCCAAATACGTGCGTGTTTGTCGCTTCGGCAAGCGAGCAAAGGACGCGCCGTACGCACAAACTCTTCGAGATGGCAGCAGAAGCTCTTCTTGAGAAAAAATGTGTATAAGACCATGTCGTGCTTTTTCTTGCTTTTTGTTGTAAATAACTATTTGACATTAGTTGTCAAAGCCAAATTGCAAACGCGATTTCGGCGAAAAAGGTGAATTGTGACGAACTCGCCAAGCGCCCAGTTGCCCTCTGTTACAACCTCCCCGTGTACGAGATGCCCTATGACGACTTGCCCCATTTGACGAGTTTGCCTATGGCAAGTTGGCTTGTGACGAGTTCTCCTAGACCCCCCGATGAATATCCAACCAGGGGAAAGTATTCCATCCCCTGCAGCGACCAATTTATCTTTGGGTAGCACGCGATAGATAAATATTTGCGTAACCAAGTGGCGGCGTTTAGTTTGAAGGGGACTTTACATAGGGCTAAAGGTTGCATCGATACTAAGGTCAACAAAAGTTTCAAGAAATTTCTTTCAGAATGTAGAACATTATCAAGCTAATCGTCCTCTCATTCCTTCCCTGCGTTTATCTCCGGGCGACATTCTAAGATATTTATTCAATCTACAGGGTGTCGGAAAAAAACTTTACAGGTTTTTTTTTACTAATTTTAAAAATGTAATACTCATTGCCGAACGCTCATTCTCCGCTCAAATATAGCACTATCCCGAACCAGATGCCAATGTTTCAGAACTAGCCGTCCTCTTATACAAAAGTTATTATTAATTTCCTGAATTTGAATGGGAATGGTGGCCGACTGATAGCTCTCGAATACGTGAAGCTCAATTGCGCCGGTTACCAAAAAACAGGTGAGTCCCGTGCACCCTAGTATCGCTCGCCGCCAGTTAGGTTGCGATGTTAAGCCTAAATGAACACAAGAGAACTAAGCAGGATGTAAAAAAGGTGAGCTTAGGTTACACCCTTTAGATGATATGTGTTACACTGTCTGAAAAGGCCCCAGCACAAGCTCAAAACAATCATTATTTTTTTTTCTTGTTTTTTACAATCTACCGAGAGAATTGCGAGCGTTGAATCCAGGGATGGGCAAAATACATGCAAATATGTATCGAAATACAAATACAAAATACTCTGTGAAAATGTATTTAATTACAAATCTAATTACATTTCCAAAAAAAGCATTTAAGTGCAAGATACAAATACAACCAAATGTATTTGGTCTCCTCCAAATACTTTTCCAAATACATTCCTCAAAATTTGCGTCAGCGACTTCAGGGCACCTGCAACGGGTTTCTGGATATCTCATTTTAATGTTGTATCGCACACTCGGGAGTTAGTGCGCGGGGTTCTAGTAACGTAATAGAAATATAATCACAAAAAAATGTAATCAGCTTGGACGTAATAGGTGAAAAAAGTACAGAGCTTCAAGTAGCTTTTTTTTGTCGATAACATTTTGGTATAGACCAACAAAGAACCGAGTCGACCAAGACGCGCAGCACTAGCTAGAGATTTTTTTATTGTTGCAACTCGCACCAGTTACGAAAATCTGGACGACCCGCGCCTTTAGAATGTTCCAAGCAAAAATATGGATGGAAATCAGGCTGGAAAGCATCACAAGTTGTCACAGGCTCTTATTTAGCCAGTCTGCCTGTGAACGTCGATTTCGTCACTATTCTTGCCCTGGACTAGCACCGTACTCACAGTCACTAAACGCTTGTGCTTGATTGCGAGGCACTGCATTCAGTGCAGAACGTAGTTTTTTTCCTGCTCTGGACAGCGACAATAAATATGAGGGATGTATTTTCGCCCACAAAATTGTATTTAATTACAATTGTATTTGAAATACCCACGTTTTAGTATTTAAATACACACGCCAAATACATTACCCAATTTGTAATTAAATACAAATGCAAAATACACAATGTATTCGAAATACGTATTTCAAATACTTGTATTTGAAATACTGCCCATCCCTGGTTGAACCTATCCTCATTTTACACGATGGGTGTTGACGAAAAAATGGTTCAGACCGACTTATTTCTCGTCGCGGAACCAAGGAGCTTTTTTTTTTTTTTTATTTATACCGATTGATGACTGGAACTCGACTTTTCCCATTTTGAGTGACTTGTGACCGATCAAAGGTTGTATAAATGAGACAAGAATATTTCTCGCAAGAGCCATATGTCAGGCCATCGTGTTGTATTTCAGGGATCTCTGAAATTTCTTGTTTCTTGTCTTACAGCTTTATCAACTTTTGGTCTGGTGTGAATTAGAAAATTCTCCGTAGGGCTTTATTTATTTATAAAACCGAATTTTTTAATCAGGATGAAAGAAAAAAAAAGGCTGCTATTGCTTTTGTGTCCGTGAGTTTAATACTAAATTAAACCTGAGTTACTGACATACAGCTACCAAGTGTATATGTATATTTCTGTGTATATTCCTGTGCATGCTTGTGTGTAAATTAGAACTTCTCGCTGTCCTACAATTATATACCATATGGGCGCTGCAGGTAAAAATAAAAACAAAATAATGACAACAGAATGGCATCTACTGAATTAGGTGTCATCGAATTGGCATCAAATTCACGAGACCTTTCCTCGAACGCCCGTTCTAATCTTAAATTCTGCTTTAATTTGAATTGACTCTTTACGCTATGAAGACCGGCAACTCTGGAAAACCGTTGCAGCATAAATTGGTTATTATCAGAACTGTCGGAGAGCATCGACGCTGGCTATTAAATGTGCTTCTTGAAACCTGACATCATAACTCGCCCTGTGCAGGGTATTCAACGATAAACATAAAAAAAACATGGCCGTACCTCCGGTGAGAACATGTTACCTCCGGTTGGTCATTGCTTTGGCGTGTTTTTGAGGGCCCGCATTGTGTAGTGTGTGATTTAAACGTCTCACTGCCGAGGACCAACTGATGGACCTTCTGAAATGTATTTATTCTGGGTCAAGCACACCTTCCGAAATTCTTAAACGAAATGAATGAGACTCTGTTATTCAAAGAAATAACAAATCTGGCGAAGCCATCGGGGGCGAAACTTCATGAATGCATACTCGAACTACCTGGCTGAAATACCTAAGAACGACCTAAAAGACATTTAAGACTGCTAACGTGTCGGAATGCAAATTCCGACAAGTTAGCGATCCTGTCTGATATAACATTATTAGACTAATATGTAACAAAATAAATGTATAACAAAGTATTTTTGTGGCCATAGCTTGTACAACGTGAAAATAATGCCAGAACACGTACAAACAGGTACAAACTAGGCAGATTTCGACAGGCTCTACTCAGCGCTCAGATAGCCATTAACAAAACAAGGAATACTGAATATCATAAGCTATCCTGATTGAAATTACTTTATGACCCTAGTAAAATACATATCTCAAAGCTTTTCTAAACGTAAGTGCACATGTTTAGCTTTTTTCTTGTTGCTTTATAGCTGAAGTTTTGTCAACATCCTCTTAACATTTACAACGCTCGTTAGATGCTGCACTTTCGTACCTGTGCATTCACACTGGAAACTGACAAGTAGACTAAAATAGCTAAATATGGCCTATCAGTCAAATAAGAGGCATCAAAACAGGGATGGGCAGTATTTCAAATACAAGTATTTGAAATACGTATTTCAAATACTTTGTGTATTTTGCATTTGTATTGAATTACAAATTGGGTAATGTATTTGACGTGTGTATTTAAATACTAAAACATGGGTATTTTAAATACAATTGTAATTAAATACAATTTTGTGGGCGAAAATACATCATGTTTTTATGCATGTGGTTGTAAGATATAGTCTCCATCCTTTATTCGGCCATGGGGCTTTTTTTCTTTTTCTCCTCCGGCTTTATTTTAAAGGCGCTGTTCAGAGCAGGAAGAGAACTACGTTCTGCACCGAATGCAGTGTCTCTCAATCAAGCACAAGCGTTTAGTGACTTTGTAATTACGGTGCTAGTCCAGGGCAAGAATAGTGACGAAATCGACGTTCACAGGCAGACTTGCTAAATAAGTGCCTGTGACAACTGTGATGTTTTCCAGCCTGATTTTCATCCATATTTTTGGAAAATTTTCTAGCTAGTGCTGCGCGTCTTGGTCGTCTCGATTCTTTGTTGGTCTATACCAAAATGTAATCGACAAAAAAGCTGTTTGAAGCTCTGTATTTTTTCACCTATTGCGTCCAAGCTAATTACATTTTTTAGCGATTATATTTCTATTACGTTATTAGAACCTCGCACACTTACTCCAGAGTTGCGATGCAAAATTAAAATGAGATAACTAGAAACCCGTTGCCGGTGCCCTGGAGTCGCTGCTTGTACTTAAATGCTTGTTTAGAAATGTAATTAGATTTGTAATTAAATACATTTTGATGAAGTATTTTGTATTTGTATTTCGATACATATTTCCATGTATCTTGCCCATCCCTGCATCAAAATAAACCCGACAACACGCTTTGAATCACGCATACTTTATGTACTCACATAGCTCTGGTTGCAATGTTTCAATGTCTTTATTGGCTTTGAAAAGACTGACACTGAGAAGTTGCGGGACATTTCAAATAACTAGTCCAATCCCAACCTGGCCTCCAAAGGACACCGAACTTGGCGCAGAAAGTCCGATCACCAAGAAGAACGAATGTTTAGCGCCTTAAGGACTGCTCGTGTTTAACCCTCCCCAAGCATAACGTAGGACAATACCGCAGTTATCTGACAACTCGACAAGGAAGTGCGTCCCTGGGTCACACAATGACGACCCCCGTCGCGAACACATTTCAGTTGCTGTACTGCTCTAAAATACAGTCCATATCAGCCATGGAGAGAACCGCATCCAAACAATGGATGCTGTTCTCTCCATGGCTGATATGGATGGTTCTTTTAGAGCGCAGCTCTTAGGCGCCCGTTTCCGGCTTGAGCGGCGTCGCTGTCGCCGTCGGCGTACCCAAGGTCACCCCAAGGTCACGTGACCCCCGAGGTCACGTGACCCCTCCCAAGGTCACCTCAAGGTCACGTGACCCCCAAAGGTGACCCCCACGTGACCCCCGATGTCACGTGACCCCTCGCAAGGTCACGTGACCCCCTGAGGTCACGTGGCTTCCCTCCCCGAGGTCACGTGACCCCCCCTTCCCCCCCTTCCCCTCCGAAGTCCCGCGACACCCCCCCCCCCCGAGGTCACGTGACCCCCTCCCCCCCGAGGTCGGGTGATCCCCCGGAGCATATTCAAGATTGAGGGGAGGAGGAGAAGGAGGAGGAGCAGGGGTCTACCCTCCCCTCAGTACCCTTCCCTCCCCCTCCTCAAGAGCTGCGCTCCAGTTCGGCGTTACAGGGAGTTGTAAACGGCTTTCACTTTTTTTCCCACGAGTAATATGGATGACCATATTCAAGGGAGTCGACGTACTCTGGCGATGCAGAGTACAGAAAAGTGGTTAAAGAATCAGAGGAAGATCCATTGGTGGATTATTATGGAATTCGTTACCATGACCCTTGGGAAAGAAAACACGCGTCCCCTTTGTGAAATGCTAACACTGGCCCCGTAACGAGGCTAAAAAGAGGCAGCAAAAAAATAGAGGAAGCCAAAAAAGAAAAGAGAAGGGGTGAGCGTTAGCGTTTCCAAAAGGGGGACGCGTGTGGCGTTTGCAAGCCTCGTGCTAACGCATACACTGGGAATCCTCCCATAATTATTCCTGTGATTTTTCATCAATGATTTCTATTTGCTTTAGCGGGCGTCTATTGGTGTTTTCAGTTTTAATCGATTTTGTGTTGTTGACACCGACAGGCGTTTTAAAGTGTTCTCTAGATAAAACCGGAAAGTCTAGGTCTATGTATAGGGATCGCTGATTTAAGCTAGAGACAAGTGGAATTAGTTGGAGAGGATTCTATTGACGCATCGTTTATTTCTCCCTATTCCAGAGGCTCACAGAGAGTGCGGAGCTAACGGCACATGGCTGCATGGAAACTGGACGAACTACACCGAGTGCCTCGGCCTGTTGCCTCAGGTAGGTATGCCGACAGGTTCTCAACGTATTCTTGTAAAAGCTGTATTAACTCTCGACCCACATATGCTCTTGATTGGTTGACTGCACAAACTCGCGAATTAGGTATTTTCGTCTCTATCGTACGCCCGCTTTCCAATCAATCTGAACGCTCCGAATTTAGCGATATAGAACATTCAGGAGCTACTTTTTAAGTGCTGAATTGGTTGCGTGAAGAAGGTGTATTGAACGTTTGCAGCTGCTTTGAGGCAACATAGATATTACATTCTCGCTAAGCTATGGCGCCAAAAAACATCGTTAAATGCCGCCTTAATAGAACATTACATTTTTCCACACTTCCTTACAGTTCAAATTAAAGTTGCAATATTCAACCAAGGAGAAAACACAAGGATCAGTTCGAGAACAACTTAGTAACGCTGTTCAATATTACCCAGAAAAAAAAGAAACGAACTCGCTAACTGGCATTTCGTAAAGGCCTAAAACTGTGGGGAGTAAATACGGACCAAACTGACAGACGCAGGGTGTTCCATGCTATTTTTTCTTTGATTATTATCCTGGATACCCTCTTAAAAGGCTAATTAAACACTGTATAGCTTCTCCAACTCAAGCCTGGTTCAGCCAGCTCAGCCAAGCCATCACCACGTAAGATAATCAGAGCCCGCTACCAACAGCCTTCTTTACTTCCATGAAACGTCAACAAACTCGGATGGCGCCAACTTGCAATTGAACACAAGCCCGACGCCTAACGTCCTTTTGACGCGTTTATTGGACACGAACACTGACGCTGCAGTCGTGGCCTCTCCGTGACAGCGCTCGATCAAACTGTAATGACGTCATGAGGCTATAGGGCACGAGCTTCTAGCTTTCTAGGGGGTGTCGTCCAAGCGCTATACCTTACCATATCCGTGACGTTTGGGTCTTTTTCCGAGTGCGTGCTTCCTGAACTGCAGCGCACCTCCCGATTCTGTTTAACATTAACGGGAGGGACCGTAGCGAACGCTACGACCCATCCCAGCCAATCCAATGCCACATACGTACCACCTGACTACCCGCCCCGCGCGTCTCTACGACCCTCCCGAAGATCACGTGACACTCGAGTTGCATTGGGTTGGCCTCGATGACTCGCACCGTCTTCTCCGGTCCACTGTAAGGTGAACCCGCGGGTCGCAGCATGCCAATCTATGGGGTTCTGGCTCGGCGTCATCCTTCTTGTAACCTGGCACCTTCGAGCAAGCTGCTGACTCGGCTCACAGAATCGATCAGGTTCGCTCGACTGCCGCCACCTGCACGCGTATTTGCGTGTTCGGACATGCGCCGATCCGGGAGTGTTGTTCGGCCATACTCTACATGCCCCGTGCACAGCCAAGCGTACAATCCGGTGGAAGCTGCTTGCTCGTTGGACCAGTCATCACGTGATCATACTCTCGCCAACATCCACTTGCAGAGAAAAAGGTCAGCTGACGAAGGGGAGGCTGTTGACAGGTCCTGCGAGCGAATAGCTTCCACCGCATTGTCGGCTTAGGGGTGAACGCGGAATAGGAACCGCTACCTCCTGGCTCTATACCCTCCAGCCGGAAGAGCTGAGATTGCTCTCAAAAGGGGACCTCGCCAAATGGAACTTTGTCGCTCGGTTAATTTTAAGGAGCGCGGCGAAATGTTTAAGTCATGCGGATGAACGTACGGGCGGCGAACCCCGCCACCGCAGACATTGTTCGTCGGCGCTAACGTTCTCGCTGTCGCCTTGTCGCTAAATGACCAGATGTTTCGTAGTGCATTCTTTTTTTATTTAAGCTTCCGCGTTCTTTGTGAGTTGGGAGCAGTCGGGGAATTGCTTTCCATGAAAGTGGGTATGTTGAAGGACGAATGGTTGTATAGAGTTCTTGGACAACGGTTTGAATCAGAAACTTGCGTCGAATCACTCACACCGAAATATCGGCCCTATGTCCTCTTCGATGTTCTTGGAGCATGTTCGCATCAGTGCGGTTAGTTTTCAATTTAGGTTTTCTCAGAAGTCTTGCGCCATTAGATATTGTTTAGCGACAAACATAATGACGCGCGCACTTCTGGCAACTATAAGAATTAAGATGATACACTAAAAACGAGGACCGCGTGAAATTTCAATTGCGCACGCTCATGGAAACTAGGACAATCAAATGCCACGAAAGTCCCAAGTCGAGGAAATATAGGACCACGTATACGCTCCGAAGAAACGGTGGCCAATGGAATTCCGCGAGCACTTCAGAGCAGAAATGTACAAATTACTCGAAAAAGGTAGTTAAGTTACTGAGCATCACAGCCAAAAGTAGTTGGAGTAGAGTAGAAATTACGCATTGGTAACAGTAATTGAGTAAACTACTAACTACTCTAAAAAATTAGCGAGTTACTTTGAAGTTACTTTCGAAGTTACTTTTTATATTTTTGTGGCAGCAAAATGAACACCAGTTTTGATCAGTGAAAACCCCTGCGAGCCTGAAATAAACGCAGTCATTTTATGACTTCCAAAATAGTTTATTCGCTCGCAGAAGCAATTGTCTTTCAAAGTTGTTATCGGAGAGTTTACCCCTTTCCTTCTAATGACGTTCTCAGTCAAGCTAAACAGACGTTTCATTGTGGCTGGATGCTAAGGCAGCGTTCAATTTCAGAAGCAGGCTGTGCAGGGTCGGGTAAGCGAGTGTCGGCATCTTTGGTGTCCATGCCGAAACATGTCAAGCTTGCCTCCGGCTAGGTCTTTTATAACAATTTTATAATATTTTATAACTCTCCTCCTTTTTTCCTTTTTTCTTCGGCAAGTTGAGATTGTTATGACTGGCCCCACTTTATTCTCACGACGTTCGTAGATTTCGCCGAGCGAGTGCACCTGACCATTAAGGGATCAAGTCTCGCGCCACGACGATCAGATCATCCGGACGACTGCGCGTCTCATTGCAGTGTTAAAGCTGCGCCACTGAAAAAAAAAAATTGCTTTTCGCCGTTGACGTTGGGTCCAACAAAATGATCTCCCAAAAGTGACTCGAAATCCTCCCCGGCGACAACGGTATTCTGACGCGCATAACACGCCTGACAAGTAAAACGTTTTCAACAAAGAGGAGGTCTCCCTGGCGTGGGAGGTCGGAAGAAAGCGAAGGATTACGTGAACAAGCATCGGCGCTCGTACAGTTGCAGCTAGAAGCGGGAACGTGCTCCCATGAACGGATTATCCGTTCATGGGAGCGTGTCTGCGCGTGTGCGGGGGGGGGGTCCGACTTTGCAAGGGAGTGTGCGCTGACGACGAGGCGACCATGGGAACAGGCGCCCAGCTGCGAGGTCATTCCAGTGGCGCCTACCATGGAACCTAGAGTGCCTTCATGTGCGCTTCGCATAGACATAGAGTGATGCCAACTGCCTGTTTCCCTTTCCCACACCCTCTTCCACCGCCATTTTGTTTCTGTCATTGTTTCCCCGTGCGCCGGAAAGTGGCCTTTGTGTCCATCGGTAATCCCGTCCGAGAGGGAAAATGCTAATCCTCCCTCCGTGGGTTCCACAACGCTGCTCCGAACTTCTGAGATAAGGTGCTTGCTTCCGGGAGGGCTATAAGCCCCACGGATTATCGCCGAGGAACAAAATGGCTGCTGGTTTGTCGGCGAGTGGTATTACAAAGGGTGGCATCACCCTAGCAAAGCGCACATGAAGGCTCCCTGATGGAACCTATCGCTTGAGTCAGAACTCACTAAAAACACGCAACATGAAAACAACAACAAACTTTGGAGAGTCCCCGTTTTTCACGGTTGCAGCTGGAGGCGCGGCGCCTGCTTGCATTACCGGATTAGGTCAATACCCGACCAAGGCTTGTTAAGCATCTCTGCGTTCGTGCGCGCCGGTGCTATGTTTTGGCTGCTCGTCGCCACCTTGGCGCGAAGACGCCTGTGATGCAGTTTCTACGGCTGCCGAGTATAAGTACTTGAAAACGGAATGTGACGGGGCCTCTTGTTCGTGAATAGCACTTAATCTGCCAGCGTCTTATTTATTTCTGCGCTCAAACTTTTGTGATGAAAGAAATAATAGGATTAGATTTCGAAAGTAGTTAGTAGTTTGAGTAGAAGTTACCTGAAAAATGTAGTTAAATTAAACTACTAATTACCCAAATAAAGTTGTAATTGAAAGTTACGAAGTTACTCGATAAAGTAGTTAAACTACAGTAGTTTGAGTAGAGTAGTTGAATTACGTCCAGTCTGCTTCAGAGACGCGTTGCCTTGTTCAGTGCTGTTCGTTTCTAGTTGCTGCATAAACAATCGTTTGCACCTGCTTAATCACTCGTTTTAAGGCACACATTTCACAATTTTTTCTTCTACAAATATGCTGATCTATTCCGCCATATATTGCCGTTAATTGTACAACTTCAAAAGCAGTCAAAAAGCTACTGCCCCGACGCAGCCGCAATCATAAATTATACGTATTTATTCTCATATATCGCCTGATGTGTATCCAATTCACAAGATTGAGAACTTACTTATGCAACTCATTTGTACAAAAGTATTGGTTTCTAAAAATATTTATTTAGAAAAAGCAGCTTCTAAGCCCCTATTCCACCGCCTGCTTCTTTCAATTGCATAGACACCATTTCTAGTGCATCGTGTTCTACCGTTTTCAAAAGAAACCAATTGCGCAACACATTTACGAGTATTTCAAGCGCATATGAGTTAGGTTCTGGCTGCCTTATTTCTATTATCTGCGTGTTAATGCTCCTGAGGTAATTCCGAACACAAAAAAAAATACACCAAATTAGGTGTACCTTCAAGCAGGCATAATCCGATCCGCTACATCTGATATTTCTTGGTTTTTCCGTGCTTTTAATATTTTACCTGTTAGCAATTTAAATAAACATACCCTCGGGTTACTTGTGTATAATTTCGTGAACGGCAAACTCGCTCTAACACTTCTTAACGAAAATCAGTTTCCACAGCATAAGATAACTCGATTCGCATTTCATCATAACTTGTTATTGCCTAAGCCTAGGACTAACTATG